GTTCCAGTTCATGGTACCGATTTCTGCTCCGTGGGAATGCAGTCGGTCGTAAATGCACATGTGCATAGATCACAGTGATAGCTAAAAATGGGTCTGTATGTCTACTTTGTTGGATAGCTCGGTGGTTAAAGCACAAACTTACTGGCCGGAAGGTCCGGGGTTCGAATCCGACCTCTGCCTCTCGACTTTCCCTGTCTGTGCTTGGGCAACCTGACAGTATCCCGGCTCTCGTGCTTCCTTCGGGAGGCATGGGAGCTAGGCCTCGAAAGGATATTATTACTATGGGTATTTATTTATTTGTTTATTTATTTATTTGTTTGTTTGTTTGTTTATTTTATGGTGCGTTGCTGTTCATGGTACCGATTTCTGCTCCGTGGGAATGCAACTCTGAATGCGGTCTCTCATAAATGCACATGTGCATAGATAACAGCGACAGCTAAAAGGGCTCTACTTAACTACTTTGTTGGATAGCTCGGTGTTTGAAGCACGAACTTACTGACCGGAAGTTCGGGGGTTCGATTCCGATCTCTGCCTCTCGACTTCCCCTGTCTGTGATTGGGCAACCTGACAGTATCCTGGCTCTCGTGCTTCCTTCGGGTAGCATGGCAGTTAGGCCTCGGAAGGATATTATTAATATGAGTATTATTATTAGTGTTATTAGTAATTATTCGATTCCGCCAACCTCTCACAGACCAACTGAGGCACACAACTCAGCATCACTCGTCCGCGAGTTCCACGGTGCACCTACTGCTAGGTAACGAGTACCGATAAGACTGTTGCAATCCACTCAGGGATTTGGCGGTTCAAAATTGGATTAGAGGACGAATTTTCTGATCGGAACGTCCGTGGTTCGAGTCCGACCTCCGCCTCTCGACTCCCCCTGTCTATGCTTGGGCAACTTGGCATTATCCCAGCCCTCTTGTTGGTATCTTCTGTTGGTACCGAAAAGGTGGTACAGCTGAACTATTTTCTCGTCCAAGATACGTCGTTGATTTGTTTTTCGTTCCTTTTTGAATCCAGTTTCTTGTGGACGCTTACATCTATTCTATCCTATTTCTTCCCCTGCTCACAAACAGATTATGGCAGTGATGCTTCAGTCAACCAGGATACCAACCTACCTGACGTTGAAAACGATACTGCACACCTGCGGGTTCCCAAGCCGGCTGTCATGGTCTCACCAGATCCAACTTCCGAACAGAGTTGTTCGGACATTCTGATGCTTTCGAGTGAAACGTTGGGGAGTAGCCTTCCCGCAGAAACCTCCGTTCACGGTGGTAATCTTGGTTCCCAAGATCTATTGTCCGTACACACTCAAGAGGATGATGGTGATGCAACGTCTGCTAAACCGGTCCATTTGCCCACGAAAACGAAAAATCCGTTGCACATCCTAGATCCACTGAACTTAAAAGGTAGCGTACCGGGTGGAATGATAAACTTTTTGTCCTACTCTTTTTCACTGTCATTCTGTGTTGAAATTTCGATATGTCTGTTCCATTTTCCGACAGTTATTTACAACCCCCTGGAATCAGCCCATTCCACTAGTAACCCTGGCTCTCCCGTAATGAACGGAAGGATGACCAGCCCCAAAGTCGCAGAAATGACGGTTCTGGCTGCCGCCTCCGCTGCCACAGTCCCCCTGAATGCACCCTCAGGTGTACGTCGCTTCATTCACACTTTGCTCCCGTCCAATAACGAGGCCAAGATCTTCGATGACCCCTTTCCGCCCAATGAACATCCGCAACTCAGTTTGTTTGGCGAAATTAGTTCCTGCTCTATTTTTCAACGATCACGGTACCCTTCAGCCCTTTTGGATGGTGCTGATCGGGATCCACGGTCGTTGGACTATCGACAAAGCTTGATTCAACATCTTCGGTTGGCCGCGCCGGACGTCTATGTGAACGATCACGAATTGACCTCTATCGTGGCCTATGCGTTGTCGTAAGTTTTGAACAACTGGTGACAGTGCTGTGTTCGGTTTATTGTCTTGAGTTGGGAAAGCATCCCGTGCTGCTTGTCTCCCATGAAATCGCTGGATGAGAAGCCGCTATTTCATAGTTGTCCTTGTCTATTGAAAGGCGAGCTGGCTCAGATGGTTGGAGCGCGGATTTACTAACCGGAAAGTCTGTGGTTGGGAACCCGACCTCTGCCTCTCGACTTCTAAACTTGGGCAGTGTCTTGACCTTCGTGCTTCCTTCTGGTGGCATGGCAATTAGGCACCGAAAGGGTGTTACAGCAGAACGATTGGAATGCGAGTGTTGGCGCACATACAAACTGGGTGGCCTACCAGAGTGATCGTCTATGGGTCTTTGACGTTCACAGTCACAGTGGTGTAGTTGTTGTTACTCTACAACACGTGATCCAAAAATCGTTGTAGTGTTTCGTAGAAATCTCTCCTGTGTTCTGAAAAAATCACATTGTCTCTTGCACAGTTGTTTGAAACTGGGCGTCGTGTTGCATTTGTGATCCCTGTATGAATCGTCTTAATTTGAGCACAGGTGTTGTACATGCCACTTACTCGAAGTTGTTTCAGTTGCTATTGTTGTGTGACAGATGAGAACAATGCTGTAGTCCGCAAGACCCCGGTCGCGTTTGCCATTTTGAGACATCTGTGGTATCAAGGCTGTATATCGCTGAATCTAATGGGACATATGTATCAGGCTACAATGTGGGCTGTTTTGTTCTGTGGCTCTTGGAGTAGCGAAAGTAAAATGTACTCAGGTGTTCGACTACCGCTGTCTCAGAGCCACAGCTCGTGTGGGTTGGTGTCGGCGAATCTGTAACGAGACAGTTAGAAAGCATGTGTTTGATTGTACAACGGGAACTTCCATCGCAGAATGTGTCCAGCATCAGAAGCTGTATTACGCTTTCCGAAGAGAGTGTTGGCTTCTGTGCCTAATTCAGGGTGGCAGAGGCAGATAGGTGGCTAATCTCTTACCTGGCAGAGGAGCATAAAAGAGATCTCGGAAAGTCTGGGTGTTGTCGGTGCGACTCGCCTTCCAGGATAGGGACCGCGTGATCCCCACTGCACCCTTGTTGGAGACACTGCAAGGTATGTCCGCCAATCGATGTCTGGCATTTTTGTTGCCAATTCCTATCCAAATTGCCTGAACGAGTGTTTGGAGTTGTAAGCACCTCAGCATGATCGTTGTAAGCTAGCACCAAGTCCCTTTCCTGTCCACCTTTATTCTTTTCTGCACAATAAGTCTTCCAAATAAACGGAGGTCCCACGACAGCGAAGCATAATTTTGGAAATTGATGTTACGCTGTTAATGGTGATGTTAATGAAGCGTTAAAGCGAACATCGTGTCGAATTGAGGTGTCATTACCGGGATTTACCTATAGTCCTTTGCGAACCTCGCCCAATTCAACGACAAACGTATTTTAGCTAAGTAGTGCAGCAAGTAGACGAAAAAATGAACTCCACTAGGATTGGTTACATGCTTGAACGGTTCGTGACCACGTGCAAGCAGGATCACGTGATCCTCAGCCAAGGAATGTTTGAAGATCCCACAGCACTCTGATTGTAGCGCTTTGGTTTCACGTTGCAGCAGCAGCATCATAGCTTGCCCCCGATCGAACGTTTCGTCAACAATTGGTTGGGAGTGAAAACAACGCCTTATTGAGTAGGCCATGGTTATGTTTACGTAAAACCTCCGTTAATCTGCTGTCCGGAACATTCTGTCTCGTTACGACAGCGAATCATTTGTTTTTTATGTCGATGATGGTGATGATGATGGCAGGTCTTGCAATGGATGGGATCAACTCGAACCATGGCTAAATACAGAGCTCCATACAAATGCATTGATTTCGGCCACGTTCTATCCTCTGCCGGTACCATTGGGTACAACTGCGAGGCAATTCGGCGGACTGTGTCAGTAAAGCCGTAGGTTCGTGCTCTCGATAGTCCAGAGGGTTTAGCCCACACCAGTTCTAGAGATAACTTCCCCGTCGTGCCAAAACCTGGCCCAGTTGCTTCCTCAATCGCACTCCTGCATCCAAACTATTGCCTTCAACGCATAGCTCCCCTCTCGATCTTCCACATTGAAGATCTACTGATAGCCTTGTATTTATGCATCAATCATATCTGCTCCTGCCTATAATGCGCAGCTATCTACCCCATCTCCCCGNTATATATATATATATATATATATATGACGTACCTCGTCAACCTGATGTAAGGCATATCATGTGCGAAATTTTGCATGCTATCGACATTGGATAAAACCTGTGAAGAATGTGGAAAAAACTCCCACAAACAATTGACTTGTACCTGATTTAGAATTGCCGGGTTCGAACCCAGACACGATTAACTGGAGTTTATATTTCGTTTCGCTCGCACTGTGTGAGCTTGTCACCATACATAAAAATATTTTACACACTCTTCGCTGTCATTGTTTCTTAGCCACCGAAATAAATTCTCAGCGACGTTGTGAGTAGTATATTTTGTCAACATAACCGATGGTATTTGACATTCGGGTAGTTCAACTACCAGAGGCGACTAGATCGTCATTCTGATAACGCTCTCTAAAGATTCAGTTTGGTTGAGTGCTTTAAAACAAAATCAGCGATTTATTGAAGCTTGAGTAAAGCTCAGTGACAAGCGTTGGCACAGTTTAGGGCGAGAAAGATGCTTACCGGTTGTTCTGACAGCGTTTCGATCACCAGTTAGCCTGGCATAAGCCCAATCATTGTGACTGCGCGTTGACTACTCACTGACAACCGTCATGCGAGATCAGTGAATTTCCAACCATTGATTTCTTATCCATGTTTGCGCTATATTTGGTGAGGATGATTGTGCCAAACTGACATCTTTGCCCGCTCTTGCCTTTTTTTGACTCCGCCGCACGCTATCCACAGTGCGTTGTTCTCAAACAGCCACGTTAAATGCAGCTCCGATTAAATTGTCTGAGTTTTTTCTTTCCAAAGGACCGCCTCCATTTAACAGGCTTGTCGTAGTCTCCGGTATCATGTGATTCCCCTCATGCCTCCCTCCACACAGAAGTCTTTTCATTCGCTGTATTCACTGCCAAGTATCACTTCAGCTATGCGTTGATTAAAATTACATGTGATTCGACTACTCACCATGGATACCCTCAAGCTCACCGTTCACAGGTACTCACATTTTATTCATGATCGGAGGAACAGATGCCAATAGAGCGAAAGTCTCAGACTCATCTTGAATTGCATGCTACTTAGCTGAATCCAGTAGCATAAGGTAACATAGTATTTAAAAAGCATAGGTGGCTGGCCGATTGTGATGATCTCATGGGATCGTGTTTGATATTTTATTTTATTAAGTATAGCTTACTGATTGTCCATAAAGTAGTATGTCGGCATTTCGTAGTTGACGCTCCCTTGTGGCACGGTCAACAAGAACCACCTCGACGAGCTTTCCATCACTCTGCTTTCTCTCACTTTCCTATCTCGCCATTTCTAGCACTACCGAATACGAGCGCCACTTAGTCGATCTACACACCGAAGCAACCAGTCGGAATTCGGTGAACGCCTCACTTCAGATGGGTCAATCGGCTTTGTCCGAGTTGGGGTATGTGTGGCCTTTTCGTTCAACTAAATTCCAAGGTTCGGGCTGCCTAAAGTCCTCCTTATTTACCTCTATGTTGCTTCACAGGTTAAATCTCGACCTCTGCCTCTCAACTTGCCCTGTCTAGGCTTGGGCAACCAGGCAGTATCCCATTCCCCGTGCTTCCTTCCGGTTGCATGGCAGCTAGGCACCGGAACGGTGTTACAGCTGAACGATCATTCTTATTTATTTACTTATACTTGGTAATTTCTGTTGCTGTTTTTCCTTGATGACAAACCGTGGTTTGTGGTGTCTCCGAGTCCACCGCGAAACTAGCACCGGGCTGGTGGTGGTTTGGTACGGCTAAATAAAGTCATATTCATGAACGCTGTTCCTCTCGAATTTTGGTAGCACTTTTGACCTTGCTCGATGTAAGTGACAGATCTGAAACCGTATGGACTGCACTTAATTATTCCAACAGCATCTCAGTCTTTAGGTGTCATTTTCTGATGATAAAAATGCTTGTGGTTCTGTGTCTGACTCGAATGAGCTAAGTGCATCAAGCAACGCCTCTGTACCGCCTTGGTTTGTAGCCATTTCGTCCATTTTCCGCCACGATCTGTTGCTCGATTCCCGCAGGTGCGTCAAAATGACTTGGTCACACAGCCACTGATGGACTAGTTTCGTTACTCAGTACTGATGTTTAACGGCGTGTGAAGGCAGTTCGTTTACAGACTGAATTGACCAAAGTTTCACATTGTTTATCCCAACCCCCCTGAAAAAACTTCGATTTGTGCCATGTTGTACTGCTCCAGTCATTTTGTACATTGTTCTTCGAAGTCTTTGGTACTCTGACGCGTACACCACAACTAACTCCATTGAAGTGCTTGATGTCCTCGAAACAATTCCTTCAAGTTCTTCACACCATCTGCACGAGTTGGACAACAACTATGGGAATTTAGATTTTAGGGAGAGGTGGCAAAGTTCGCAAGCCGGATGTGCTTGGTTGTCGCTCAGTTTGGCCGTGACATATACGAGGCTGGTAGCCATCAACTGTTGACTGTGGATGGATCACAGGAGTTCCGTTTTTTTTCCAGTTCACAAACCGTACACTGAGATGCAGTTGTCTCAGATTCGTTTACTAGAGATGAGAAGTGTGGGGAAGTAACCACTAAAGGCCCGAATTCTACTCCATTAGGTGCTGATCAGACAGACAACGTTCCCATAATATGCAGTGCGTGATAGCCTTGTGTCAAACCAAGACAGCGCGAGGGTGTCCATTATCCGTACAATGCTCTCAGCTGCAAAACCTTTACAGGTCGAGTAAAACCTTCTACGCCAAAATGTTGCATTTTGTTGCGATACAACAAATTGGCAGATAGTACAAGAAGAATGAGGGCTTGAGGGCTACGCGTTGGGGGCGTCGAATGGTCCGGTTTCGTGGTTGTCGCAGGATTTGAGAGCTGTGCAATGAAGATGATAGTTTTGATACTAGACCACCGTTGGCTACGCGACACAGCCACGTCTTTCATAGTCACTAACCACCCACTTACCGTCCTTCCCTGTTTCTGTCCTTTCACTTGATCGACTAGAAGTTTCTAGAACTGTGCTTTCATCGATGAACTTCAAAGTATCCATGTTCGAACTAATAAGATCTGAGAATTCGTAAATCCAGATCAGGGCGTGTACCGGATTGTTGATCGGAATCATTTCTTATTCCAAATTAGAAAAACCGTTATCACTCGGATTGATCGAACCAACGTGGGATGAATCTGATGTTAGTCACTTCTGACATTAGCAATAATCATTTTTGCAGGCTTTCTCCAAAAACCACCTTCTGCCCTGTGTAGTTTCCGCAACAGGCGCCGCTTTATTTCTCAAATCTTTCGGCCGATCGATATGGTCTATATATTCATCTACCTGGGTAGGTGTATAAGTTGTGGTGAACTGGTTGGTGGCTAGATCGGGAAGGCCATTGCAGCTCTTGCCAATCTGCTACGTCTGTGGCACCTTGACGTCTAATCCGTCAATTGTACATTGCGGCTTAACTTTGCGTGCTGTCATACCCATCAGAAATCTGGTTTCTACGCGCTAAGACTCTCGATGTTCGACCGTCGGCATCTGCGAAGTATTCATCGGTTCTGATGTGAGCATCCGATTGGCGTTTCTGAGGTGCGCCGGATGGTTTCAGGAGACCGTGAATGTCGGAATCATCGCTCCATACCTTTGTTTATGACATGTACTCAGCATGTCACGGGAGTTTGCTCAGCACTGTGGTGAGTGGAAACGGCTGAGAGGCGGAGATTCCAACACCTTGCAACGAAGTATGAATTTACTGACCATTAAAATCTGTCGGGTTGACAACTGCTCCCTCCCACAGACCGAAGAACCCAGCTTATTAATACTTGATGACACTGCGGGATACCACTCGGCCATGTGACTATCGTGCATCAAAGCTATCGTCTTCAATGCATAGCTGCCTAGTTTCAACGCAGTTACACACTAACTAACTGATCATGTCATCGCTCCCAATGCTTGACTAAAACTGTAGCTGTTGGAACCGACTTATCCTTGCTACGTAGTTTGTAGCGGATAAGCTGAACTGGCCAAAAATTCATGGGGCTCCCCATCTATTTCAGTAGCAAAAAATTGTTGGATCGACAGGTTACCCCTGTTAGGGTCTCTATCTTTTGCCCTCTCTTTAGACGTGGTCGGAAATCAAGTGTAGACTTCAGTGTATGTTAAACAAAACTCTGTACTTTGTGTGTCGCTTATTGGTGTATTATTACCTTGTGTTTCAACTGTTGTGGAAACCGCTTTCTTTTATGTTGATCACCTACAGGCCAACCTCCAAAGACGGCGTTTCTACAGCCACATCGATGGGCAACCGGCCCACTTGTTTAGACAAAGCGGACAAAAGCGCCTCGAATATGGTGCAGGTGCCTGTTTCCGCATGCCACCCACCTGACCAGCCGAACAAAGATGAAGGTAATTTTTTGTGCTTTCATCATCAGCCGCGTTTTCGATCTTCTCAGCACGCAAACTTCATGATTTACCATCTCAATACGGAGCAAAAATTTAACCTAGCGATTGAAATGTGACGGTAGAGTTAGGGTAAGTGTTTTGAAGTGACCTCATCTAACCTGGTTGCTGTCTTCGGGGTTGCGGACAAACGAAGTGCACCCCCCCGTCCACACAGGTTCTCCTGAAGAACCCTAATATTACGCAGTACCTTTCTCAGATATCACATTTTCTATTCCATCCGAAAATGAAAAAGGTTCATCCTTTCAATCCAGCTTTAATCGAGACTGCTGGAAGCTTTGTATGTCGCGATGTGATAATTAATTTGTCGAAATGTTGGTGACTCGGGTGAGTTCATTGATGCTTGATCAGCTGGTCTTTGTTCGGTTCGCCAAGCTTGACGAATTGCGAACCGGCCAATAAGATTGCAATAAAGCATATTCCAATCAGCCAATCACGTGGGAGAATAGCAATTACTCTTCGAAGACTTTATAAATGCAGGCAGAGAAAGGAGGAAGTAGCCAATCAACTGCACACTGCCTCTACTGAGGTTGGAACTGTTGCAAGCTAGTTACCAAGGTCGGCGAGCAAATCAACACCCATCTAATCAACCGCGGATGTAACATGTCAGACCAGATAAGCCCCAGTTTAGGCAGCTGGAAGTATCCTGTGCATTATCTTAGACGAACATATCTCTGCGGTCTAATGCTTCATTGCAAGTCCGCCTGTCGTTTCGCACGATAGTCAAGATTATCTGACCTACATTCTCGAGCACATCAGGCCTTCATACCTAATCTGCTTATTTACCTGGATTCATATAGGCTCGACAGCGCTTAGATCTTTGCACTTTCAGGCTAATTCCCCCCTGTCCGATTTTTTCTCCGTCACACTCTATTTCATCAAACGTATCTCGCCGACCACAAAGTGTAATATGGTGATGTACGATACTTTTATCTCACTTAAAAAAACCGTGTGAAATCTTGATAATGCTTTGTCGTAATCAGCACATCAACATCCAGATTTAATTGAGTGCTTTCGTTCTACTAATACCCTTTCTTCTTGACATTTCCCCATCTGTCTTCCTATCGGTTGTTTGTCAGTTTTGTCGCACTCTCGCGTTTGTTTCAGGTGCGAAAGGACGTGTCACCTCGTCCACTTTTGTGATCTCCCCTACCCCCAGTGGTTCCTCAAAAAACCTCACGTCGGTGCAACCCGCATCCTCCCCGCCACCCAATCCCCTGCCTGGGACACAGGCTTCAACTGGCACTCTTCCCGTAGCTGGCGAGAAAGTCCCGCAGTCAGCATGTAACCGTCATATTAAAATTCGTGAGTTTCTCGTTTCGTCACTCCGAATAAATCCTTTTGGTTGTCACAATTTTTCCGCTTTGACTCGGCGTAACGGCATACTACTGAGGCATGTGAGTAGTATGTCTTCTTGTAAATTCACTTTGCGTCTCTTGAAAAGGGAGATCTATTGCGGAATTTGTGGAGTCGCTTTGTAGCATTTGCTTGGATTTGAGTAACAGTTCAGGTAGATGAGTTCAGGAGAAGATGGACGTTCAGCTTTTTTGTAAATAAGATGCATATGAGAGTTTTGCTAACCTGTCCAATAGTCTGTAACTGGTCAGTTGGTATTTTGTAATAAAATACCGCGCAGCGAAGGCCTTCTTCCTTTCACCCATGCTCGGGCGTTCCGGTCTGAACTACCCTCCACCATGTACGCAGCACTGACCTTTCTGATCTCTGTTGCAATGAGTTTACGCGTTGGCAACCTCCTTGTTCACACACCCTGCCCGTTCATATCATTGTTGGGATCGCTCGTCTATTGGTCATCAAGACGGGTTACCTGGCGCAACGAATAGCACATGATTCATAGTCATTGCCTTAAATGCAGCCACTCAGGAAAGTCCTGGAATAGGGTGAACCTGCTCTCCTGTCATCCAACTTGTGTCATGAAATTCCTCACCCAAAAATTTCACGTTCCCGTTCACTAAAAAAGTAATATATGAAATCTTGACCACCTTTCGTTCTTCGGGCAAGTTGGTGTGAAATCACATTAGGCCCACAGGACCATTCAAAGTATGAGTGCGATGAAATCGATAACCGCATTCACGTAAAATTTGTCCCTTACTTGCAAACGATGAAGTAATAAGATTAATCGCACTTGAGAATCTATTGGCTGTCGATCGGGTGACAATTGATCTTTCCGCCGAACTTGTCACCTGGCTCGCAGGTGTTTCGTTACCATGTGAGGAGACATGGTCAGTGGCGATCTCAACTGACCGACAGTCAATTACCCCCGAGCAACCAGCATTTGAACACACTGCCCACTTGAGTGTTCATAATATCTAGTGTGACAACTGACCTCCACCATGTACGCAGCACTGACCTTTCTGATCTCTGTTGCAATGAGTTTACGCGTTGGCAACCTCATTGTTCACACACCCTGCCCGTTCATATTGTTGGGATCGCTCGTCTATTGGTCATCAAGACGGGTTACCTGGCGCAACGAATAGCACATGATTCATAGTCATTGCCTTAAATGCAGCCACTCAGGAAAGTCCTGGAATAGGGTGAACCTGCTCTCCTGTCATCCAACTTGTGTCATGAAATTCCTCACCCAAAAATTTCACGTTCCCGTTCACTAAAAAAGTAATATATGAAATCTTGACCACCTTTCGTTCTTCGGGCAAGTTGGTGTGAAATCACATTAGGCCCACAGGACCATTCAAAGTATGAGTGCGATGAAATCGATAACCGCATTCACGTAAAATTTGTCCCTTACTTGCAAACGATGAAGTAATAAGATTAATCGCACTTGAGAATCTATTGGCTGTCGATCGGGTGACAATTGATCTTTCCGCCGAACTTGTCACCTGGCTCGCAGGTGTTTCGTTACCATGTGAGGATGACATTTCAAAAGAAATGTCATCTTGTGGGGTTTTCTTCAGGCTCGAATTTCCCATTTATGCTGTTCAATTACGACTACATGATATGTACCTTCGTGTAACTAATCGTCGATGGTCCAGTTATATCTGTGATAGGTTTATTTACAAAGACGATTTACAGCTGGCGTTCTGCTTCCAATTTCGTCAACGTTTCACCGAACTCCGAGTCAGATAACCGCCCTGCGTTCTACTGTAGCATATCTAAAAACCATTCCATCATGGGTTGAACAGATTGCTGTTCTTTTAAAACGACGTGCCGCTTGATGAAAACCGTTCGTTTCCGAGTTTTTAAAGGCCTCGTGCTCTCCTTGAACACCAAATTGTATGCGATGTGGAATCATATGTACTTATGAACCCCGAGTGGCACTCATCACAACCACCGGTAGTGGGTGGTGGAGCCATGTCCAACAGCCTTATAAGTAGTATGGTGCCATGAAAAATATTTCGGTGTCTCGAGAAGGCCCTTATTGGACAGTGTCGTAAAAGAGGGATTCAGTTGACCCTGCAGTTTACATGAAGCTAATTTTCAAATTAGTGTATTTTACCAGACTTCTCTTATTGGGGCGTGGGGGGCATAGATTCTTTGAGCATGCTTCCAAGAATTCAGGGAGACATTGATATTCCGGAAGTTTGATTATCTCTGACGCTAGTGTGCTGAACGAACTGGTCGCGCTAACCCCGAAAGTCAGAATTGCGTTTTACACTTCGCGTTACTCGTGGCATCTTTCTGGATCTCGAATGACCCATGTATCGGACCACAGTGTACAGATGTGAAACTTGGTTACTTCGGGGGAAGGGTCTGAGATGTTCCCGGGTCTCAGACCTACAGCTGGAGTCGGAGTGACGCGATTAGGAGGCGGTTTCTTGTTGAATCGAAAAATGTAACCAGCACTGCAAGCTAAGGTGGCTAAACCATGCAGTGCTCATGTTGACTTGCCGCCTGCCGAAATTTTCTTTCTTGTGTACCCAATTCGGAAACCTGGAGGCGGAAAGATTTGGCGTGGCCGAGTGGAATGAAGAATGTAACTAATAGCTTGGGTGCCGTTGGTGCTTTTTGGCTTTTAAGATGTGCCTCATCTTACCTCCATGGTATGCTAGAGACCCCGAACGATCCGGCTGCTAACCGATGTCCATTTCAAGTTTGAGTTTATTGCGTACTTTTTCTCACATTTTCTGTGCTTCTGATTGAGACAATGTCCATTTCATCACGGCTGTCTTCGATCCCTCTCACGCATTTCAGAATTCTCCGACTCGACCACCAATTTCTTCTGCTGTATTTACTACGCATCCGAATTCTTCCGGTTACGACAGTTGTTGCTGCCACAAGGAGATATCAGGTAGGCCGCTCACGTGGTCAGATATTTCTGCCTAGGATTCTGTTTACTTATCTTATTGTTTGACTGAAACGTTACAGCTTGCGGGGTCATCATTCCGATAACGGCCTCTCCAGGCATATCAGTCACATTTTTTTCTGTGTGCTCCATACCATATCAGGCTAAACAGTACATTGTATGCACGTTGCTTACGTGACAGATAAAACAGTAAAATGCAAGAAATTGTTATTTCTGGGGCAACATCATTCCACCGTTCGGTGGTTAGAGCGCGAGTTTACTGACCGGAAGGCCCTTGGTTCGTACGCGACCACTGCCTCTCGACTTCCCCTGTCTAGGCCTGGGCCACCTGGCAGTATCCCAGCCCTCGTGCTTCCTTCGGGTGACATGACAGCTAGGGTGTTACGGCTGAACGATTATCTCTTATTATCTTTCATCTAAACTATCGTCCTATTCGTCCCGATGTGGCTGTGGTATCAGGTTATCCGGATCATTACTCGATTCAATGTCAGGGGCACATAGTTCAGTGTAAGAAAACGATGCACGGACGATAGTCATCTGGCTTGTTTGTGGTATTGAGACAACCAAACCAGACGAGTGCTCCGCGTGCTCCGCTCGTCTGGTTTGTGTTTTAGTCTCGCGTCTAATTTTTTTCACTTGAAAGTTGCGCGAGACCAATGCGCAAGTTCGGTTGGGCAGAGATCATTTCCGATGGAAGAGCAAGTGCTTGACCGTAATGGCTTCGTCGGAAGCAATGCGTTATTTGAGAATCTGGTCATGTGCCGTTTAGAACATGCTTTGAGGTTCACAGTCTCCTTCAGGCGCAATAGTATCTCAAGAGGAACCGATTCCGTCGAGAACATTATCATACATGGCAGTACTTTCAACTAGAACCATTCAAGAACCTTATTTCTGGTTCTATGGATTGCCGATTCACTGACTCGAAGCAAACATTGCACTGGGAATGTCTTACGCGATTCACCTGGGATGGACCATTCTGCTTTAATATGAATGGTTGATAAGATAGGCACTGCCGATACAATCTCCGGCCACATCAGTGGCATCTTCCTAACCGGATTTGACCTGACTAAAAATATAGCTCTGGCATACTTGCACGATGTCGTCAATTGGAGCACCTCACTGGCACTCGCATTTAATCTATGTAGCGCGAGGAGTTGTGGTAATTCTGTCTGAGGCTTCTCATCCGTACTTGGACAGGATCGAGCACCGCTCACAGGATCCATATCACTTGGTCACATGTGTTGGCTGGCTCCTCGGATGATCGCTTCTCCTTTTGCAGTCATCTCGGGTTTCCGTCAACCTTATGTTCTACTTGAAATCAAATTGCACGAAATTGGCGAAATACACTCATTTGCAAACAAATTCGGTTTTGCGGGAGACTCACCCTCTCTAGGTTTCGATGTTTCTAGGTTGTGGATTGTCGAGGAGTTTTCAGCAACCTTATGAGTAGTGCATTAACAAATATATATGAATCGCAATATGTCGAATATCGTAGCGACTGAAACATGAGGTGGCCTGGTGCAGCATATTCAGTGGCCTGGAAACACAGAAACCGAGAGATTCAGCTGGGTTCCAGGTGAGTCTCTTGCAAGGCCAAATTTATTTGCAAATGAGTGTATTTCGCTAGGTCTGGTAATTCTCAGGAATGATTTCATCCTGTCATTGAAGCTAATCCATAGGGAAAAGCAGAGAACCACCATACATCTGTTCCATCCTTACTGGAAATCATCAGCAGCAGCCTTTAGCCATTTTGCCCCGGTCAGCTGATCAACAATGTGATCAAGTCGCCAGTCACCCTTCAGTCACGTGATGTACATCGGAAGTCCACGCGTTTTGACTGGCTTCCAACGAGGCCAAACAGTGCTTTTAGGCTTTTCTATATAGATTGGCTTCATTTACAGGGGTTTTTATCCATATTTATAGGGGTCTTAGTTTCTGTCCCCATATTCATGATAATCTACCCTGTTTTGTGATTTTTAATCAAGTTTGATCAGATAGAACAAGCGTCATTGGCTGTTGATCAGGTGGTAGCCTGGCATTTTGCTCGCAAACGTTTCGTCATCATACAAAGCGATATTGTGAGTTCGCTCATCCCTTTCGCAACCGATCTTTCCGCCGGTGGCACCTCTTCGTGACCCGAGAGGGGATGTAGTGTACTGCAGATCCTAAATCCTAGCGTTCTCCCCACAACTTTCATCTCACTAGTCTTGGGGTATTATCAACTTGGTCCACGGGTGTCAAGTCAACCACAAAACCTAGAACAGACAGCTGGCTATTTCTTGTAGCTTTTTCCACCGAGTGACTTTTGAGCTTCAGGTTACACGCCCAAACCAGACTAACTGAGTTCCGATTTTTCTCCTCCTCTCAGTTTCATTCGTTCACTGTCACGTTGCTTTCAATGGAACGCTCGTGGTGGGAAATCCGGGTCCTTGTTCATGAAGACTTGTGGTGAGTGTGGTGCTGGAGAAGTTCCGTTTTAACACATTTTCCTAATATTTCTGGATCGACCGTTTGCGTTTGCTACTCGTGCACTCGGTCTCGATTGGTCCACCGACAACTTTTACCATTTAATTGTTCTCACATGACAATACGCAGATGTTATTTCTTTCAGCTCAGTTGGCAAGAGCATCCGAGTGAATCCAACTGAGCCAGACTGAACAACTTTCGCGGGATCCAATAACCTGTTGTGGTAAACGTATCTTTCTGCCCGCCTTTCCTAACGTTCTTGTTCTTCATTTCACAGATGAACGCTTTGTTGTCAAAGAATTGTCTGGAATCGAAATGAAGACGTTCCATGAAATCTCCCAGCAATACTTTGATTACCTGATTGGAGCTGCCCTGGAACAGGTGTGTTTAGTCATTGTCGTGGTTGTGGTCCCAGACTGCTTTCTTTCGACTCTCAGAGCTCGTCGAACTTGGGTTATTTCGTACTAGTTGCGTTTTTTCTTCCTTAAAATTCTATTGTCTTATGTCCTCAGAGTCCTGGGTTTCAAGCAATACAGGACCGAGCACATACCAACTGATTTGATGACCCCGCCATGCACTCATCAGACCTGAGTCCTAAAATAAACTCATGAGCGTCGCAGTGACTGAATCTCTGTCCCTCAGAGTTCAGCAGGGACAAACGGGTTAAACGAAGAGCAGCGTACGCCTTACTACGTACAAATTCATACTGTTTTCTCCAATGGGGGGTGTTTATTCATCGAATTAATTTCGACGGACGTCCAGCTTTTCCATACTTTTGGAACCATGGATAATCACTTCCATCGAGCGTGGGCCTTATTGAACGGACCGGTCCTGGAGACCTTGGTTTCCAGTCCTCCAGTAAAAATCGTTTAACTGTAACACCTTTTTGGTGCCTAGCTGCCATGCCACCCGAAGGAAGCACGAGGGCCGGGATACTGCCAGGTTGCGCAAGCCTAGACAAGGGAAGTCGAGAGGCCGTGGTCGGGTTCGAACTGCAGGTCTTCCGTTGAGTAAATTCGCCCTCTGACAACTGGAGCCATCTCACCCCCATTGATTGGACTCGACTGCGGGCGATTTTCTGAATACAGCTAAACAACGATTAGATCTGCCAGGCGCTCGACGCGCCTCTACGAGTACTAGCTGATCATCGTGAGGGGGGTTTTGTTCCATTGCATGCGCCATCCGGCTAGTCTAATAGTTATCATAAGTAGTATTCCTTCGTCTGTGACATCCTTTCGCTACCTAGCTGCCATGTCAGTTGAAACAAACCCGAGAGCGAAGATACTGTCTGGTTGGCCAATTTCAGACCGAATCAGTCGAGATGCAGAGGTCAGGTCCGAACCACAAACCTTCTGGTCACTAAGTTCGCGTCTTAACCACTGAGGTCTTTCGAGCTTGGGCCATTTGCTTTCCCAACCCGATCGATTGGATCGGACTTTTGAGTCTAATTCTGTGTGTGGTCAAATCCACTTCTGCCTATACAATGGGATTTAGCACTCTTCCATATAACTCATCGTCTATTGACGAAACAACGAGTAACGTAGATGGTCTCATGATGATGGTCACTCTCGCTGTAGTTCGACCTTTTGCCTCGCGGAATGCGTGTATTTGGGAAGCTCTTCCCTAGTCCTTTGCTCCTCCAGTCTGGCAGTTACTTGGAGCCCCGTCCCCGTAACGTTAGTTTGATTGGTTGACCCTTATAGTATCTTGAATCGGGATTTGGACCCCTATCCACTTAAAGAAATTAATTCAAGCCGTTCGTTCATTGCTACAACGACCTAAGTGAGTACTTATCAGTGACTCAAACTCGCGTTCATTATCCTATTTTCCTGCTCCAAAGAGTGCAACGCCCATATTTCACTCACTTTCTTTTTCCTTGTTTCGATAGCGGCTTTCTGTCCTTTGTCGGATTCTCGGAATATTTCATGTCGGTTTCAAAAACTCGCTGTCTGGTGAAGCACATCGGTTCGATGTCCTGGTGATGGAAAATCTATTTTTCGACCGAACTCAACTGGCCTTCATCTATGATCTGAAAGGCTCATTACGCAAACGTCTGGTGGATGAAGCTAGCGCCTTTAAAACACCTCAAAATGGGGATGCTTCCACAGGCCGACCCGTTGCAGACAATCGCCAAACACGTACGGACACAGTGCAGTTTGGTAACTCTCAACAACAACAACTGGCGCAGACCGGACGCCATCAGACTGCGATCCCCAATTTGACATACAAGAAGAGTGTTCCCGTGCTCCTGGATCAGAATCTGTTGAACGCTTCTGTTGATGGTCCATTGTATTTACGCGTACATTCAAAAGTACGTTCGCACCCTGCTCACAATGTGCACGGTTTCATGTGCGGACACTTTGGTGTCCAGTTTGCCGCATTCACAAATGGTCGGTTACTACTCCCTCTGTACAAGGGACCTTATTTTCCATTCCCTTTTGGATTGGATCTTATCGAACATTCAGTGAAATGAAGTTGGTTTGCCTCAAAAGAATTCGATTCGAGGTTTCCGGGTCGCATAATATTAAAGCATGGATTATCTCATTTAAGGGAGTGGCCTGAATGCACTGACGAAATCCTTTGGTTAAATAACAGTGCACTGCAATTTAATTTTTGATACGAGAGTCAATCGAATCCAGCCTAGTCTCTCGACTATGGTGATCCACTTTCACCGAATATGCTGCACCAGGTTGCCTCATGTTTCGGGTGGTGCGGTATTTAAGGTATCGCAATACGTTGTTGTCCTACGCACTACTCATAGGGCCGCTGAAATCCAGGAACTGCGTCAGGAAGGACGAAATCAGTCATGGACTGTCCAAAAGCTTCCAGTGGCCTTATGAGTAACATGCGAGATGGCTCAAGTGGTTAGTGTGCGGATTTAATGACCGGAAGGTCCGTGGTCCGAACCCGACCTCTGCCTCTCGACTTAACCTGTCTAGGCTTGGGCAATCTGGCAGTATCCCAGCCCTCGTGCTTCCTCCGGATAGCATGGCAGCAAGGCACCGGAAAGGTGTTACCGCTGAGCGATTTTTTTATGAGTAACGTGTTACCTTTAGATCACAGTTATATCTTATGCGCAACCACTTTGGGTGGAGATATAGTCATTGTAAGCGAAAAAGCTCATGGTTTTTTTTCTGATGACTACCGCTTTTTCCGAAGCATTCTTCCAATATGCTATCACCAAATCTGAATGAGTATCGTGGAAAAAACTCAGTCGATGAACGAATGTGTTTTTTCTTGGTTTTGTTTCGAGTATCTAAGGACTGCCTTTATCGAAGAGTTTCTTTCACTAAACCAGGGACCGAAAGGAAGCCAGATAGAGAGGCTTGCCTATCTGATTGACATCGAAATTTGAATGCCACAGCAGCTGGCAACTGGAGTTTCTCTAGAGAGAGTGGCCCTAAACCTGGCAGTTGTTAGAGGCACTCACCAGCACGGTGCTTCGCCACGCACGTACGCAATTTATCGCCTCTGTCGTATACATTCTCCTCCCCGACTCCCAGTTCCACATCGCGACAGTCTTGTGAGACCAGTGTTTGTCCACTAGCCGATTCGTGTTGCAAGAATGTCAGCTATCGGCTCCAGCGCTGAACGTGTACATGTTTCGTCTCTTTTGTTTCGGGGTTTTGCGGGATAGCTGTTCTGTTCATGTTCACACCCATCTCGTTGGAACAGTCGTTCTCCTGTTCTGGCCCAATTATCCTAGTGAGTCCAGACCAAAGAGAGAAAACACGGGACTCGAATTTCACCCTTACTGGAGCTCATCAGCTGTGCATATCCAAAGGCCGTGCCGGGATTTGAACTCCGGACCTCTGACACCCGAGGCGAATGTGTTCACGCTTGAGCGACTCATCGAACGACTACCCGGTAACTGTCCTGGTTGTGACGATCGATTGACCCGCCAGTCAAGACTTCCCAGTCAGGTAGCGTGGCACACGCTTGAAACCCACTGGGCAACTTTTTGGTTTCGTTTTTGGGGTTTTCTGGTGGGTTTGGCGTGTCTTTGGCTGCGTGGCTAGACTATACAATTCCCAGCCAATGGCTGGCAGTTGGGCCTAGCTTTCTCGCATTTGTATTGTATATACTATTATTATACTATTATATCATATGTTTATATCATATATGTATACTTTATCTATTATCATATTATACTTATACTACTTAATAAATGCATGTCAGTCAATCTGAACATTCAGTCTATATATCGTAATCTTCTGTGTGTCTCTCACTAGTCTTGAGGACCGTTCACTCCCTCGGCAGTCGCTTTTAGCTAAGGCAAGTAATTACTCAAATAACCAAATTTAGAGCCTAAGCAATTCCGTGACTTGTTTTCGTTCGCTCATTATCTCATCAACTAGAGCTGTAGACGAATGGATTGTTTGAGATTCATTTCTCACCGTCTATACCACTCTCCGTCTCTCGTAGAACGCTCTATCCCATTGCCTTTTGATGGATACCAATTTTCTGGCCGACTTGTTCCTCATGGACTATTCGTTGTTGGTTGGTGTGGATCCGTCCACCAATCAGTTGGTGATCGGCCTGGTGGATTACCTCCGGAAATTCACCTTTGACAAACGAATGGAAATGATGATCAAACAGACCATCTCGAGTGCCCAGGCCCCTCCGCCAACCATCCTCACGCCGGATTTGTATCGTGAACGATTTCTGGTCCAGATGGATAGCTACTTCCCGCTTGTTCCGGACCAGTGGTATGACAGTTTAGCTGAACATGTGGAAGCCTGGCAATTGCAGACAAAAAGCAACAAATCGACAGTACATGCACCAAGGAATTCCGTTTCTGAGCACATCACTAGCAGAGCATCTTCTTGAGGCGTCAAGAAGATTTGCTTCAAATCTTGTGATCACCTTATTCGATGGTCTTTCACATCCAAATGTTCGTTCGTTATCCGTGAACCTCGCATTGGACCAATGATCGACTTTGCGTCGTCCTCTATTTTTTGATTTTATTGATCCTCGCTTTTTATATACACCTAAAATATGAATAAAGATTTTTTTAAATTCGCCGTCGTTTTGTCCCACGTTTGGCTTCTGATGTCCGCTGTGGTTAACAGCGTTGTTCACACTTGACCCTTCCTGGATGTTAATGGTTCCTCATCGGTTCTCATTCGGGCGCAGCACTTTGCCGATCACTGTCTGGAAACATCACTCATTAAGTGGGTGTGGCAAACTGATCTGACGAACGGTTGGCAAGAAGACGGACACGATATCTCCACCGCGTATTGGTGGTGTATTTTGGTGACCCGCTGTCTGTTGAGTGATGACATCTCTTATCTTCATTTTTCGGTAATCTTCAAACTGTGAAGTCGTTGCTCACGAAGCCGTCGGTGGGCCTCTCTGGAACTGCTTACAACACAGGAGACTTGGCACGAAAGTAAATTCCGTGAGTTCGTGTCTAGCCTTCCAGAATCTGTCATCATCATTGTCAGCTATAAGAACCGCGTAATTGTCGTAATTGTTGTAGCTGCCACAGTTTCGTTCACCGATGATTTGGGGAGGTGGGGTAGGTAGTTGCGCATTAGAGGCGGGAGCTGATAAGTTGGTGCGTCAATACAGGACTGTTAAGTGGGGAGACGGGAAAGGGAACTATGCATTGAAGGTAATAGCTCGGATGCATTAGCGCCATTTAGGGCGCGACTTGGCCATGTCTGGCAATGTTTGTAACCATTGATGTTGCCCGTCTAAAGGTCGATTCCAATCCAGGAAGAGGACGAAGACCTGCGTAGCTAGTTTTGCCGGCTTTTACACTTCCTCGAACTAACTTTCTATCGCCTCTCCGGTCGTGCAATTTCCTCCTGCCCCTCGTTGTGCGGCCTTAAACTGGCGCTCAATTTTGGTCGGCCAGATGGGCGCATGACCCTTGGTAATAATCGTTAAATCTTGACTGCGTTGACCCATAATCCACCCAAATGAAAAAATCAATAATAGCTTGAATGATCAGAGACCGATGTTTTCCTCCGTTGGTGCGCGCGGTCCTAATACTGAATTTGGATTATCTGTGCCCCACGCCATTGCTATCTTTCACTACAAACGTCCGCTAAGCATAATCAATTTTTTTTCATACTCCCACAGAGGACTCTCTTTCACGAAAGACACTTGATTAAGCCTTCTTTTATCATCCAGCAGCATTTAGACTGCGAGACTTGTCGCGAATCTATAAAATGGCGTATGGCAGTGGTGACTCAACGTAGCTGCCGACGCTCCTACACTGTGTTTTTGTACCGCCTACATACCGAAAGGCGTCCTCTAGCTGAAGAATCTTAATGCGCTGATTCAGTGTGCGTTGTAGTTTGTTCACAGTTAAATTTTCCAATCTAAGGACTCAGCTGGTTATTTCATATACTACCTTGTGGAGCCGTCTTCACGCAGCCTTCTGACGGATGGAGATGACCCAAGGGGTGAGATGGCTCAGCGGTTAGAGCGCGAATTCGCTGACCGGAAGGTTCCTGGTTCGAACCCGACCTCTGCATCTCGACTTCCCCCGTTTAGTCTTGGGCAACCTGGCAGTATCCCAGCCCTTGTGCTGCCTTCGGGGGTGGCACGGCAGTTAAGCACCGAATGAGTGGTATAGCTGAACCACCCGGTGTGGGTCAGTCCACCAGTCACCTCCCCAGATCAGGACCATACGGCGAAACAAACACATGGTTAGTGACTGATAGATATGGATGTCAGGCAGCCAGTGACGGAGTTGCTACCGCCTTTACTTCGTAACCCTCACGAGATGCCACACTGGACCAACAGAACCGTTCAACGCTAATAAACTGACTGGACCATTGCCTCTAAAATGTGGCTTTCATTGCCTTATGCCCCTTATCTCCGGTCAACGAAGCTGTACCAGCTGGAACCATCGCACCACGGCGCTGCACGGTTTTTGAGCTGAAAATCTGTACTGAACATCGATGCCCCTTGGTAATAATCGTTAAATCTTGACTGCGTTGACCCATAATCCACCCAATCTGCTTTTGCATGAAATCACCTTCAGGACAACTGTATATATCCGCAGTCAATTTTCCTATGGCAGAATCCCCGTGCATATACACCGCACTATTTTAAGTCTTGACATCGGAATGCGAAAAGTGCATGTTGCTTTGGCCAACTGCGATCGAATTTGATTGCATTGAGCACCGTGCGGGTGTGTGTAATAGCTAGCGGCCGTAAACTACACGTAAAACCTTCTCGAGTGATGGAGCTTTCTCACCCGGATTGGTAGTGCCAAATTGTGTTGCTGATAACTTCAAACCGTTTTATTGTCACGCAATCGCATGGAAGGTTTGGTGGTTCTTGCAAGCATCGATCAGTGCCTGACCGTTGTCCACTGTGTTGTGCAGATAAATGTCTCTGATTCGAACTGCTAGACAAGTCGTTGATCCACACACGATGTGGTCGCGTGGGCGCATCCTAACGAGTCGATAGTCCTGGGGAATACAGGATAGTCTAATGACATTAACTGTGCAGCGCTTTGGATAGCTCAGTAGTTAAGGTGTGAACTTACTGACCGCAATGTCTGTGGTTCGAACCCAACCTGAGCATTTCGATTGCTCCTACCTAGGCTCGGGCAACTTGACAGTATCTCAGCCCTTTTTCTTCCCTTGGTTAACATGGAAGCTAAGTACAGGATGGTTATTACATCTGGACAGATATTTTATTTTTATTGCCTGTTGTTGACCAACAGTTCCACACACTTTACATCCAAAGCTATGAAAATTATTCACCAACTTTGTGCGTATTGTCTACAGCAGTCAGCTGATTTCACTCTTTTGCCCTTATTTCCCAGCAATGAAGCTCGGTCTTTAACTGATCGATCGAGCTTTACGTCGAATATCATTATACATGTTCACGTCAATCTCGTGTGAACGAGTTCGCGCCTCGCACGTGGGAGTTTGGAAGCTGTTCGACCAAATGTATGCACTTGATGAGCTCTAATAAGAGCGAAACTTCAATCCATCGGTTTCCTCCTTTGGTGTGGGCTCACCAGGATAAAGGCGCCAGGACGAGAGGAGCACTGTTCAGACAAGAGTGATGTGAACGTGAATTCTAAAAATCCCACAACCACTTACAATTAGTACTAATAAATTCAAGATTTTGGCAACCACTCTATGCATCAACAACCGTTAGTTGACACTCAGCACTGATCTAGTGTGATAATCTGAAGAGCATTTACTGATTGGTTCCCCGTTTGTCTTGTAACCTGGCCAATTTGGTGACCTGTTCGCTTGGCGTGATGAAGCTTTTGTGTCAAAAGCGAAACGTTGCCCAAATAAAAAAACTACTGATTGTTTACCAAGCTCTTATGAATCGAATTGCTCTTGTTTCCGGAAAAGCTAAGTGTCCAAAGCTCTTCGTGGGACGCCAAAATGGAGTAAGTAGATGTCACTCAGTTGTTGTCCCCATCTTTTTCGCCATAAATAGACATTTACTTCATCGAATTTGGGGTTTTTTGTCCATATGTGTTAGTAGTAAACCACTCCGAACAACACCTGTTTGATTCGGGCGCGTGTAGCATTTGAAATGATCTTGGGATTCTGAATTTCCAATTGGTTCGACTTGTCAGCTGTTGAGCAGCTGGTCCAAACCGTCTCTTCAACTACATTTCGGTGGTTTCTGACGGTAAAGACCTGTTATCCCCCTTCTCACACGAATTCGCGCTCGCTGATCCGGTGCGATACCTTCAGTCTTAAATAGTCTACCACATCACCTCGGTGGTTTGAAGGGGCCATCTGTCGCGAAATTCCAGGGGATAGAAAGACACCAAACGAGATATGCACCGCTACTCCTTCAGTCGTTCATCTGCCATGCCACCCAAAGGATGCTCGAGGGCTGAGATACCGTCAGATTGCCTAAGCTTATACAGGAGCAGTCGAGATGCTGAGGGTGGGTTCCAACCACGATCGTTTCGGTGTTCAAGTTCGCATCTTCACCTTTGAGCTATTCCTTCGGCATCACCTAATGTTCACTGTGTCAGTTTCGTCTTGTGCACCTCAGTTCTCCTTCTTGTTTCAGTTTACTGTCCAGCGATGTCCTACGATTACCTGAACTGGCCCAAAAAACACGAGAACAAGCTGAGTATAGCGTAAGTTTCCAACTCACACTTTTTTTTATCTAAAGTCAGTCTTTTATTTCGGTTTTTGTTTAAGTATAATGGTAGCATGAGGACCCTTGACAGTTTTCAACTGATGTTTCGTCTTGTACATGAAGCCAAACCATGTTGTGTAGCTGTTTCATCGTTACTGGGACTCATCAGCGGAGCGCATCGCACGAGACTTCAGTAGGGTTCCGAACCCGCGACCTTCCAATCAGTAGTTGAACCCTTATCCATTTAGCTACGGCAAGCTGATCAGCAGTATGATTAGCTCTCATTTAGACGGGACATAGCGCCGCTCATCCTCTAGTCACGGAATCCATCTCATCTGGTCAAGCCTGCTTACTGACTTCTCTAGTGACGACCTCTATGATGGATGGATTTTATTCTTTTTCTGAGCTACTCATAGATTGTTAGTAGTGTAGCCATACAGGTTATGCGCCTCTTACATCCCTCGACGTTGGTTGGAATGCACTTGCGACAATTCAATGAAAAAATCCGGGAATTCCGCTGTCAACTCTTAATGTCATGGTGCATCTGTCATGAGACCCCCTGTGCCATCGATTCGGCGTGCTCGAGTGCATTGTTTGTGACGACTCGGTCAGGACCTGTTTATCATGACTCATTCCTCGGTAAACCCTGTAGTACAGGCATTTTAAGTTGGTCTATCCAGTCGTTGCCTCGGGAGTTTCAGTCGTCCGGTTGTTCGCCGTTTGGGAAAGCATGACCCCACTGGTCTGGTCAACATACTGCTTGCAGTGTAGTTTTCGTTGACCCGACCCTCATTCCCACTCTCTCCTTTTCTGCTCCTCACTTAGAATGGCCTGTGACTTTTTCTTTCCCAATGTTGGTGGTGTCGAGACACACATCTACTCCTTGGCTCAGTGTCTCATTCGTCGAGGTCACCGAGTAATTGTGATCACGCATAGCTACGGTCCGGTGGGTAAACAGCGCCAGAGTGTTCGTTACATGGGACGGGGACTCAAAGTGAGTCGATCGACTTTCAGCATGTTTCTCCCTTATGAATCGTTCATTTTTGATTTCATTTTGACGAAGAGGGCTGCACAGGTGTTTCACCCTTGGTGTGCCTCGGGGCCGAAATCTCCGGAGTGCAGTCTAAAGTCCTTTTGAGCCCGGACTGACTGGTCATAGCCGTGACTTAGATATTCTGTGTGATATAAACATGAACGGTCTATCAACAAAGTTGTTACCTGGTCCTTTTAACCGCTATTTTCCAGACAAAGTGAGAAACGTTTAAGTTTTTATATTGAAATGGTGTCTCCTCAGCGTGTTGCTTTCTAGGCTGGGTCCTGTGTAGTGGACCGGGGAGGGGGGTGGCTTTTCACTACATCGCCGACAATGTCCTTCAGACTGAATCCTTGTTCGGAGGTGGTGGGTGTATATTGTTGACGCTCCTCGACAAGCACTAACCATCTCCATTTTTTCATGATCTTGCGCTTTCTACCGTACGTACACACAACTGAATGGTGGATTCGAACTGACAGCCTTGTCCTACATTCAAAATATCTGTGACTTTTTGGGTTCCCAACTCATCTGTGTCCCTGGATATCACTAGTGTTTCTCATCACTTTGAAGAGCAAAGTCTTTTTGCATTAACCACTTGATTGGTTGGTTTTGCAACTCTCACCTTGAGTTTTTCTTACTCGAATTGGTCACCCTTTTAGTCTGTTGCTTTTTCGGATGATGCTTGCTAAACTATCAGGAACTTGGAACTTGGTGGAACAGCTACCCTGGAGCTCGGAATAGATTGAATATAAGTCAAGAGCTCCACACTTGCCACTTCTCTCCGGGCACTTCTGGTGAGCTCGCTCGCGCCTTCTACCTTCTGAATGAAACGGGTGTAATATCTGAACGGATTTTCTGTTCACACTATTGGTCGATTAGTCTCTTCCTTCTGTTCCATTCTTCCACAGGTGTACTATCTTCCATTGGTACCTTTCTATCGACAAACCATCTTCTTCACTCTATTCGGTACCCTACCGATCATTCGAGAGATCCTCATCCGGGAACAAGTGGATCTGCTTCATGGACATTCGGTAAGCCTTTTCCCTTCTGTTTTTCTCAGCGATCCTACGTGCGTTAGTTACCTCGCCCTGATTTCATGTTCACCTCATCAAAAATCCGTCGTATCGGACCACATGGGTCTGATTTCTCCAATTGAACTGTGCTCACGCCCACTTTGTAACGAGTAACATCAGGTCCAACAAATCACAAAACCTGATTACTTAGAATCCGTGCACGGTGAATAGAAAACTGTTTCTGTCTTCCGTTCCACTTCGCCGATCCGACCTTCCCTACTTAAGAGAAACTTCTACGGGTAAAAGTAACGCTTACCAGAACAGATAGTCCGAAGAGTTTGAATGTGGTTGGCGTACCAATCACCAAAACGCATGTTCAACACAACCGCTGGAAAAACAAGCGGGTCCGAATAGATCACTGACGCCAACCCACCATGAACAACGGAAATCCAGCGTGAGATTTCAATTCTGAAGCACGACAAGGCACTTGACCTGGATGGTCTACACCCCGTGCTCTTCAAAGAAGGTGAGGAGGTCCTGGTGAACGGTCTGACAATCATACTGCAGAAGATTTGGAACGAAAACAGAATACCAGCCGAATGGAGCTCCTCGACCGTCATTCCAGCTTTCAAAAAGATCGCAAGAACGTCATGTGGTATTAGCCTGGTATCCGTTGCGTCTAAGGTGCTCTCTGGCATTGTTTTCCGCAGGATTATCGGGAAAGACAGATTCGTGAGAATCCAGCTGGGTTTCCTCTTGGTCGATAATGCAGTTTAAGCGAGATGGCGAGCTGGTCCAAGTCGTTGGAGCGCGAATTGACTGATCGGAAGGTCCTTGGTTCGAACCCGACCTCTGCCTTTTGACTTCATCTGTCTAGGATTGGGCAACCTGGCAGCATCCCAGCCCTTGTTCTGCCTTCGGGTGGCACGGCAGCTAGGCACCAAAGGGTGTTGCAGCCGAAAGGTTTAGCTCTGACTGCAATTTCGGGACTGGTTTTACATGGGCATCTTCTCAAACAACTGCCCGCGGTTTAATGTCGTTTTTTCGCTAGTCTCCAATAAGTTCAGTATGTCGGTATCGGGAAAAATTGAGTGAAATCACGCCACGCATATCTTCGTCCTATCAACGCAGTAAAGTTGACTCATTGTTTCGACTCCACGTCTCAAGTGCCTATGAAGCACGGACTCTCAGAACTTTCACACAGGTAATTTTATCGATCTTTCTGGCTTTTTGTTAGTAACCGAGTAATTTCTCACGTGATTTTTACACCGTCACACTTTAAACGATCCGTGTTTTTTCACCTTTGTCCTCACTTTTTTATAGTCATTCTCTGACCTTGGTCACGAGGCCATTTTGCACGCTCAGAGTCTGGGAATCCGGACGGTATTCACGGACCACTCACTGTTCGGATTTGCCGACCTATCCTCTGTCACAATGAACAAAGTGGTGGAGAGTGTGCTGTCTGCTGTGGATCACGTGATCTGTGTGTCGCATACTTGCAAAGAGAATACCGTATTACGGTCCAAGTTGGACCCGAATCGAGTGTTTGTAATCCCCAATGCCATAGAGTCATCTCAGTTCACACCGGACCCCACAGCCAAAGATCCAAACTTCGGTGAGCTTTGCCTTTCGTTCCTGGCATACACATACATACCTACACCTTTGACGTAATCCCTGATAATTTACGAAGTCCACCCGTGTCTACCCTCTTGTTTTTGCACTGTATGCCCTCATCTTGGGTTGTCAGCCTGAAGTGACCTAGAATTCTGAAGGTCCAGTACTCCCAACACTTTGACCATTGACGATGTGGGCAGTCAGTGGGAAACGCCCGATATGTCCAACCTGTTTTGACGCCACTACATCGGACCCACGACCTTCTTTACAAAATCATGCCTATCCGTGGTGCATATTGGTTAGGCTAAAAATGAACTTTACGCGATCCTAATTAGCTCAGTAGTTAGGGCGCGAATTTACTGAACGGAAGGTCCGTTGTTCGAACTCGACTTCTGCCTCTCGACTTCCCTTGTCTAGGCTTGGGCAGTCGGGCAGTATCCCAGCCCTCGTCCTTCCTTCGGGCACCGGAAGGGTGTTACAGCCGAACGAATTGGCGTATTGGCAACGATTTACTGATTGCTATACAGAGGAATGGTGGCGGCTCAGGCTGTATAGATGGTCGCTCTTCCGTTCACTGTTCTGTTTGCT